AGCCGTCATTGTTGTTTGGCGGGTCCGGGCTGGGGATTCGAACCTGCCACCTTAGGTGTACGTGGCTGGCGCCTTAGCCAGTTGAGCTATAGGTGCTGAGCCGATTACTCTTTAAAACTTTCTTTACCACCATCATTCTCCAAATTGTTCCCACTGGTTAAGTACTTAGCTCCTGCAGGACCCCACCCTACTCTCTCCGCATTACTCTACCCACAAAAGAACCTGGAATCACTCTCTTATCACCCTCCAAATTAACCTCTCATAGCAGCTTTCCCTTGATTGAAAACGTCCTATATGTTAGATAATTGCCTCAGAAGAGCCCGAGTGGCCTATCTCATCTCCCCATCCCAATTACCCACTGAAAATGTCAAACTTATGATCCGCCCATAACCGCTCTTCATTGGCTATTCTACCTCCCATCATCAAACACTTTTCTTTAAACCCTTCCTTTTTTCTTTTTCCTCCTCCTTAGGGCTGCTCTGCAGCCTCCCTCCCCGACCAATAAAGACCTTTCCTATAACCCTTGATTGTCTGTGAGGTCTCTGCCAGTCGAGTGCCACCCTTTCACTCTGGAACAAACCTCCCATTCCCACTCCCCACCCACTACACCTACTGAAGTCCCTTTCTGCTATTCCTGCTACCTGCTTGGTTCTACATTCTACTCGATCCCTGCAAGTTTCGCGGGCTGGGCCCCCTCCCAATCCTGGGAAGAGCCCCTTCCCACACGTACCTCGAGGTTCCAGCCCACGCCGCCCCCTTCTCCGTCCTCCGCCCGAGCTCGGCCACCCTTTCCATCCTTCTCCAGCTCCGCCCGCTCGCTCCGTCCCTCCCCTCCACCTTTCGTCCCCACCGCGCTCCCTTCCCCCACAATTCCCAGCCCTCCCAGCCCAGGGGCCCTCTCTGGGTTCGCCCCCACCTCTGCGCAGCTCTATCTCCAGTCTCCCCCTTCCCGGCTGCCCCTCCCCCGCTTTGCCGCTCCCCACCCCTCGGCTCGCCATTCTTCTCTCAGAGCCGCGCGCCCCGCCCGGCCCCAGCTCCCTAGCTTCCCGTTCTCTCGCGCCCTCGCCCCCATCCCCAGCTCGGTCCTCGCTCCCCGCGGCCTCCCGTGCTCCCCGCCCGCGGCCTGACCTGCAATGGCGGCCGCCGAACGCGGCGCCGCGCGGCCAACGGGCGACAACCGAACCTCCCGCCGCCGTCGCCGCCGCCGCGAGCACTGCCTGCGCACTTCCGGCCTTACGCCAGGAGCACTTCCGGAGCAGAGCCTGAGAGCGCGCGCGCACGTGCAGCTGGGGCGGAGAGAGGCTGGCGACGCGAGAGGCGAGTGCGGGGCCGCGGCTGAATTGAGGAAGGGGTGTGGGAAGCGAGTGTGAGAGAGAGGGCAGTTTGAAAGCGTGCGGACCGCCCGAGGGGCCTCGCGGCGCTCGTACATCCTCTTGTCCCGAGGCCGGTAGCGGCTGGTCCCGGGAGAGGAAACGGGCGGCTAAGACCTGGCGTGCGCTTTAGATGTCGGCTCAGTGGGGCCGCGTCGGGCAGGGCCGGGCCGTTCCCTAACTTGAAGATAGAGGAGTACAGGGTGAACCTCACTCTGTCGCTACCCTGGCGCAGTATGTGTTTGCAGGCGGGGGCGGGACGTAGAGTGGGTGACAGACGAGGCAGCCAGAGTAAGCCACCAAGTCTTCTTGCTTCCTTCTTTAGCGGAGTTCTGTTCTTAAGCAGGTTCGACATCAGCCCAACTGTCAACTACTCTAGTTTTAGTCTGAGATTTGCATACTTAGAATGATGTGCAGTAGAGCTGAGGAGAGGTGCTTGCTAAAATGCAGATTCCTAGGCTCCTTGCGATTGGAATTCTTGAGCTTTGGAGGAGAACTCTTTCTGATTTTTTTGCTCAAGCCTCTTTACTGTTCAAACCATCCTGAGCTTCTGGAGATTGATAGATTTTTGTATGATGCAGTATTAGTTATTTAGAAATGAACTTCAGTAGGGTAATAGTTGGAGCTTTCCATCCAGAGCAGCAGTGATGAGGAAATGAATACTGCATTTGACATACTTCTAACGTTTAACAGTAACTTTTTTCTCCTCGTAGGAATGGGTGAATTTAAGGTCCATCGAGTACGTTTCTTTAATTATGTTCCATCAGGGATCCGCTGTGTGGCTTACAATAACCAGTCAAACAGATTGGCCGTATCACGAACAGATGGGACTGTGGAAATTTATAACTTGTCAGCAAACTACTTTCAGGAGAAAGTAAGTCTTTTGGGAGCCTGTTGTGCTGTTTCTGATGTTAATTTATTCTTAAATTCAATTCTACAAAAATTTGTATGTCTATTTTTTTCTTTCCT